TTGCAATGTTGAATCTATAGTTTATAATTTGCAGTTTGCATTTCAAACCTGACGCAAACACACTCGCATCAAGTATCAGAAGCATGACTCGTGACTCGCGACTATCACTGGACTACCACTGCTATGACCATCACTGTCACTGTTATTGCGCCAGCCTGCCTGACAGATAAGAAGCCTTACCTGCACCAACTTCTGGGCAAACTGTCGGGCACCTGTACAATCGCATCCCTAGGCTGTGGCCCTGACGGGCCCACGCAACGCGCCAAGGCGCCTGTCCGATATGGCGAACTGAGACGGCGTGAAGCAAGAACCCGGACAATGCCCACCTTTTGTTGTTTAGTCATGAGTCTGTGTTGCATAGTCCACATGGCCTCTGTAAGTCTGCTAAAGAGTATGTGCTCACTACCTGAGTGAATATATATGTGAAAACCAAGTAGAGTATAGCCTTCGGCCCAATGGCCTAAATGATAGAATGATGACCCATATGACTTTCTTCGCAAAACGTGTCTTTGCCAGAACCACCAGTGCAGAGTTGCATCGTCAGTTTAACTGCGCGAACCAGTGTGGATGCCGCAGCTACGCGTCGCGCATTGCTCCAACCAGACATCATTTTAAAGCATGGCTTGAGGCAGCCATTTCCGGAACTCCCCCCTTCTTGCTGCCGACTCCTCCTCCAGTTGCCTCGGCGCTCGAACAGCGCGATCATCCTCGAACTTCTGCGCGGTGTGCCTGCGCACAACGCGGAGCAGTAAACATACAGAACTATAGCCGGCCGCAATGGCTTGCCGATGGACCGACGGAACTCAACATGTCCAACCTCCCCCCAAAAAAAGGAGGTGCGTACTATCAGGCCAATATAGCCGGCGTGGTTGCCAAAGTTTTACAGAGATCGTACGATGATTCAGACCACCAGTTACAAGTTGTAACACGAGGCCGCTTATTATTGCAATGTGTGTCTTGGATTTAGGAATTCGGGTTGGTATCCCATGGTGTAGGAGTGCCTCTACTGTACGCCTCTGAAAAGAAAGCAACAAGGAATATCCCCCGCCTTGCTTGGCGTCGCACAGTCAACGCCTGCATTCCTGATCGTTTTGCGAACGTACCTTGGGGCGACACCAAAATCAAAGAACTTGGAACGAACGAACGATTAATCACACTTGTCCACGCTAGTCCCCACTTGCTGGACTCGCTCAAGTGTTAGCGGCAATGGTAAAATACAACAACAGTAAAAGGGCGCCCGTCTTGCAGCCAAGACACTCAGCCAAGCGGATCTTGTTGTCCAGACCCGGGCTGCAGTCGCATATGCGTACTGGTATGGTGGGATGGACTGCGAGGTTCACTGCCAGACTGGGCATTTGGTCAGTTGGTCGGTTCATTGGTTGCTTGATCAGTTGCGTGGCTCGGTTGGTTGCCAAGTTGCTTGGTGGGTGAGTGGTTGATTGGTTGACAGGTTGTTTTCTGGTTGAAAGATTGCCAGGCTAGTCGATTGGCTAAGAGTCTAGTCAGGAGGAAAGAGTTGTTAAGAGTTTGGTCATGCGTGACGCAGTCTTGTTGCTTCTGAACGAAAGACAAAACCAAACTAGAAACACAATGCTCGCGGCTCGATCTCATGGTTGTCAAGCCTGACAGTGTTCAAGAATCAAGATTCTAGACTCAATACTTGCTGAGCACGGTGGCTGAGCGCGTGAACAGTTTGCAACACCCCCAACATATGAGCGTGAAGTCCTCAGATTTCGATCAAGCCGCAGCGAGTAAGCCAAGAGCCCATAAGCATGTTGCGCCCGCGTTGTAGGGAAGCTGAACAACATGGTGTGAGGCACGCCCTCCGAGATAAATGCGAGATGCCCATGTTGCACCATGTCGGTTTCAACACACTTCGTGTCACCGCAAACTCCGAGCATGCTAGCGCAACACTAGCGCAGCGTCGTCAACAACGTTCCAATGTCTTCCACTTCCACAAGTTGCATGACATGACCCATGTCAGTCCATGCATGCCTAAGAGGCAGTAGTTGTCACATAGGTACAAGCTGGAGTTGCGAGCTACGAGATATAAGATATGAGTTCACAGGGGCATAAGTTGTAAGTGGTAAGATGTAAGCTATAGGTTCTAAGCCAGATGTGTCAAACTATGTCACCAAACATGAGCGTCATCAGTCATGATTCCTGCTTCATGAGTCATGAGTCAATAGTCGGTTGTACTTGTGAACCAGTGATCATGGGTGTTAGTATTAGTGCTGAGTGAGCCGTGAGTCATCAGATATGTCGGAGTCATAGACGATGAGTCCATGAGTCATGCATCATGGATAGTGTCACGAGTCATGAGTCGTGGCTCCACACGGCAAGCGTCATGAGACAGGTTGGAGCTGGCCATAAGGGTCATGATGAGGCACGCGTTGAAGTATAAGCGCAATAAGGTCGTCATAAGTTGTGAGCCAGAGTTAGAAGTTATAAGTTGCAAGTAGTTAGCCATTTTGGTCAAGTCTTACGTGCCGCAGAAATCACAAAGGTCATACGACTCATGCGCGTGATGTCTAGCCAATGTGTAGCCACTGCTCACGAGTCATGAGTCATGAGTCATATTAATGATGATGTCGTGAGTCAATATCATAGATGTTTTATATCCTAACTCAGAACTATAGCCGGCACAGATAGCTTCTCGATCCCTATGACTACAACTTATACGAACTATGATTGATTTTCATATGCGTACGAAGTTTGAATCACATATGGACCATTTGACCACGACTCATATTGCTAATCCTTCGGGGCAAAACGGATGTGGTCGGTAGACTGTGTGCGCGCTAGAATGGCTTAGGCGAAACCCAAAACGGCGTTGCGAACGTTTGCGAACCTGACCAAGGTGTGCAAACGTTTGCGAAGGCACATCTACAATTTGCAACAAAAATCCAGCCGCAGCTTTCGAACGCAGCTGGCGTTATGCAAGCCCACGGAGGTTAGATGAACCTCCCGCGAACGCCAGGCAGGCTAGGCGAACCCGTACGAAAATGCATTTCTACTGTTCCCGTGAAGTAACTACATGGGTGAATCGTGAATCGTATAGCCTGAGTCTAAGCTCTAGAACTTACATCAATGTTTTTAAAGTTTAATATGACGGTTCATTTCATAATGATTCTGATGATGATTAAACAAATAGTACTGGCTATTAGTTAGTGAAGTTTTGAGACATTAGAGCAGTGATAGCAACGCACGCTGGTGACGGGTTGTCCCTGTCATCATCTCACAAATTCCTACACGGCGTAGCGAACTGGTTGCACACGACACCGCTTAAGCCGTCCTTCTCCTGTTGTCCTCCCATCGTCGTCCTGTCGTCCTCCCGTCGTCCTCTTGTCGTCCTTCCGTCGTCCTTCCGTCGTCCTTCCGTCGTCCTTCCGTCGTCCTTCCGTCGTCCTTTCGTCGTCCTCCCGTCGTCCTCTTGTCGTCCTTTCGTCGTCCTCCCTTCGTTCACTCGTCCGTCACACCGTCCACATGATCGTCACCGCCCCCGTACTGCGTTTTTTCGCACCTACTAACACATGTCTACTGGGCCTAGCTAAGTTATAAGCAAAAATGTAAAATGTTTCCCAAGAACGACCATGCCAAAAGACTGAACGATCACGGATAAAGCCCCAGTAAAGCCACGGACTGCTGAGCCTGCCATTCGGGAAGCCGGTTGTGATAGTGAGCCATGGTCGGTACTTGCGCGGAGGTGAAATCGGAGGGTGAACAACCAGTTTTGTAGCGTCGTTCTTCCAATGGCAATTTGGCGAGTGTACCCAATGTCATCCCTGTACCTTCGACTATGGTGAATCTTGACCGTTGCGCAATGCTGGGTCCATGTAGCCCAACAGAAACTGTTTTGGGGGGTCCAAGGGTTGGTTTTGAGGGGTTGGTTAAGCTCTCCAGGTTGTCTTTGAACCGCCTGCAAACAAACATCCGCTGTTTGCTACAAGTTATAAGTGGGGAAATGGTGTCATTCTCCAGAAGATTCAATAGTTAAACATGTTAGCCAAGGATAGGTGTGTCTCCGAAACGAGGCCCGGTTTCCCTTTAGTTTTCCTTTTACATGACCCTTAGACAGAGTCAGTCAAATATGGGGGGGCCACCTGGTTGCCCAAGTTTCGAGACACAGTTCTGGATAACATAAACCAGTACGAGTAGGAGGGTCACAATGTGATCCGGATTCCCTCGAAGTGTTGCGAGCCAGAGTAAAAGCCACCCAGCACATGTCTGACTAGGCCTAGGGAGAATCCCGGGTCCTGAAGGGGCTTAGTCAATCCGGTTGGGGGGAGACTCCTTGGATCGGCCATGCTCAATCCTGGGGCCGCGGGGCCGCGGGGGGAGGGGGGCATGTCTGCTCTGAGGCGATGCATGGATGCATGGAAAGGTCAGCTCGTAAGGCGATGGATAAATGGGGAGGCATTACAACAAATGCTTCCAGCTTTGTGGAAACATTCATCAATCAATGCCCCACATTCATTTTGTTGGCATCCAGGCAGGTGGACTACATGCTGGAAAAAAACCAGAAGCTGGCAGAAAATGGGGAGACGAGAACAATATTGCGACAGTTGTTGTGGTAGACCTGCCCAAAACCCGGTTCTTTCAGGTCTTCGGGGGTCAAAGTGACGTCCTCAGAGAATGTGGGGTCCAAGGGATCCCGAGAGTAAGGCCTGGTTAAAAGACTGCAAGTGTCCATGGGGAAAAAGGGCGCCTCTTTGTCGGCACCTGGAAACCAGCCCCTTCGAATTGATGGTTTGGTGGGTTGGACACAGGAACTGGGGTAATCGCCACAGCACCAACAACTCTGAGATACCTTCCAACCAATTCACATGAAACCTGACGTTCGGGAATTCCTTTAAGTCAAGTTTCCTTTTAAAGGGACCCTTTCTTCAACGTCAGGTTCCATGTGACAAGCGTGGGAGGGCATCACCTGAAGAACCGGGACCCCAAACACGGAGGCTTGCCATCCGCCCGCTTCCATCGGGTCAGATCGGCTGAGCGGCCAGCTGTGGAGGATGACGATCCACAGAGATCACTTGCCCGCTCTTGCCCTCCTCCCGCTCGATCCAATCCAGGATCGTGGCCTTAGATGCTTGAGCCACTCCTGACAGAGAAAAAAAGCGAAGCTTCTTTGATACCTGGACTCAAAGCTGGGTCCATGACAGGGACTTGATCCAAAATGACCTTCGAGATTGTGATCTTAGGGGAGACAATCCCAAAAAACATAGAGAGAATCCCTCAAAATGGTCGTGAAGGATCCTAAACATGGAAGAATCACAAGGCCCAAATGTCGTGTTTTGGGGCAGGCAAAAATTGAGCCACTGCTTAAGGGTCCTCTGGCTTGCTTCAGTCAGACAAAAGTTTATTCTTCCCTCAGGGTCTGATTCGACCGTGGTCATCAGAAAAAGTAGGTGTTTTTGAGTGCCACAGGAATCGATTGCTATGCGTTCTCCAAAGCCACCCTCGTTTCCCAAAAAAAAAACGCATATAACAGGCTTCTCAGAAATTCCGAACCGTCGCACCGTGGTCAGGTCTTAAGGAGTTTGGGGCGAAGGGTTCCAATATTGAACTTCAAGCAGCGGAATTTGGGTCTATGGCCGAGTTCCTCACGCCGCACGACCGATCTTGGGGGTTCCGAACGGTGACCTTTCGGAGCTTTGGATTGACAAAAGATGCGAAAGCCAAAAGGTCACTTCAGCTTGGCTTTGGTAAAGTGAGCGTCATGATGAAAATGGCTGAGGCTCACAAAGATGTACCAAAATGGCACCTTGGAAAATGGAACCTAAGGCCAACACCTGCATAACTCTAGCTCATTAATTTTGAGCCACACCCAAATATACAGACTCTGTACTGGACATGCGAAAACAAGAGTGTCTCTGATTTGCGTGATTGCAGTTGACTTTCTGTGCCCCACGAACTCTAGCTTGTCGTAGAGTTCTGGAATACAAAAATCACAACCTCCGGACCAAAGAAAGAGAGGCACCCCTGTTTCGTTCTTCTTGCAATCCTTACATTGAACCATAACCGAGCTACCGTCTTTAAAAGGCATTCCCATCAGGGAGCAGTTCACACAGTTCTGGCAAAAGGCTTTCATGAGCTGGTCAATCTGCAAAAACAAACGACTATCAAACATCAAACACCCTAGAACTGTTTTTGCTCACAACCACACTCCCATTCTAAACGGGGAACATCCCCCCATCCGACATCCTGTACTAACTCCACAGCTGGGGAGCAAAGAAGTAGGTGAGACCACCCTTGTAGGTGCCAGTTTCGATGATCACGTCCGGCTTCTTCATGTACCTTGGAAGAGATCGTCCTTCCACCCCAAAGTCTGGTACCCCGGCGACACCCAATCTAGTTCCTTGAGGCGAACCACCACGAAGCGAAAAAAGCACCGAGTCTGGAGAAAACCTCGCTGGGCTTAGTGCACGAGTGCACGAACGAAAATATCACGTTAAGTACTGTGTTGCACTGTTTTGTGTGTGTGGCTGTTGTGTTCTGCAAAGGGTGGGTTCGTATTTGTTTGTGCTATGGTTGGCTTAATTGTTTGCTTCCGTGCTTGTTTGTCTTGTATGTCCGTGTCTCTTTCCCAACGGTCCAATTGCCTCGCGAGGGTGCACCAAATGACCCCCCTTCGACCCCTCAAGTGCGCCCTTAGAGGGTACCTGGACAGGTCGTTTCAGGCTGAATCGTGGTTGCAACTGGGTGCATCAATGTGACATCCTCAAACATATTTGAAGGAAAGCCATTCCCAGTAAGCTTGAGAAATCATGAACCTGCAACCAGCTCAAGAAACTCAGTGCAACACCAGGGTGAGAGTGGAGATCAAAATTCCCTTCACGTGCCCAGTGAAGATGACTAAACAACATAGGAACAGTGCGCGAACTTTCACCAGCAGCAAACAAGTACTGTGGATGGACGGAATCCTGCACCAATTTGGAACCCTTTGTTTGCTGGTATTCAGTAGATGGTTCGGACTGGATTTCGTCCACACTAGAACTTCCATCGGGATGCACAATGTGCTGCAGGTACATCAGGTCCTGGGAGTCTTGCAGAACCTGCACTCCCAGCCACCTCACAGCATCTCCGGGAAACCCGGGATTGATACCTATGCTTGATATACCTCCATTTGCTTAAGTCCCCTGGAACAACGGTGAAATTTAAATGTGTATATGGCCATGGGTCAAAAGCCTGTACCCCCAGTGAACATCCCAACCCCAAATGAAATAGACTAAAATGGGTGGTGCACCTACCCCAAAATCGTACCATTGGTTTTGAACCACAGCCATATGGATATGTATTATTATCATGAAGCGAATGGCAGTTCATAGTGGAGTTCATTCTAGAAGGAACTCTTCACTTTTGAGGGTCGTGAATTCGACGTGTTCAGTCAGTCCAAGACATGAAGCACGAGAACTAAGGCATGAGAAAGGGCCATCCTGGCTTCTCCTTGGTTTATCCTAGGCTTATCCGATAGCCGCCCTCCCCCCAGAGCCCGTAGGGATCCATAACCACAGGGCGAATGTTTTGCATTCAGAATCGAGGCTCACCAAACATTGTAAGGGTTCGCACTGGCTGAGTGGATGGCCAAGAAAAAAGTCCAAACTTTTTCTGTGCCACTAAAATGGTCCTCCCAAAAGGTTTAAAGTTCATGAACTCAGGAAGTGAGGGTTTGATCATCCATTTTGTTTCGCCCATTGTTCTTTTGAGAAACCACTCAGGTTCCCTGGGCGTTTGTCTGGCTGCAAAGAAGCAACCCAGGAAACAACGAGTTGGAACAGGGTTCCCCATGATTCCCCCAGACAAATTCGCCAAAAGGAATCTTGCTTTGGCCCAGAAGGTGATCTTTAAAGCAAAACGTGCGGACATAGAGCCGGAACTCGCTGGAAAAAGGACAGACCTCCTATGTTGGGCACATGTTGACCATGGCTCAAAACCAAAATCTGGTACAGCGGCCCACCCAAGGCGCCTGCCGGGGGGCTGTTCACCCCAAGCCTGTATCTTGGGCTCATAAACCAAAACTGGAGGCCAACAACAGTTTGTGGGGAAGCGGGATCCAAACTTGCGGATTTGAGCGGCAAGCTCATCGACGTGTGGTCCTACCAACATTGGCGAACCATCTACTCCCGTCCTGATCGGCAAGCAAAAATCCAAAACCTTTTGTGTACCGCTCAAATTGTGTGCCTCAAAGCACATAATACATAATGTCCAGAAGCTGGGGAAGTGAGTCTACCAAAAAGGCATGTGGGGCCCATGGTCGCTGTTGGGACTTGAGCCTTCAAGGCTTTGAAGGCGAAACCCGATGCAATGATCAGGAAGCTGGGCCAGATGGCTCCGACCCCGTGCAACGAGTTATATCGGGAGTTCAGTCTACTTGGATGCCAGTAAGCCCCCTACAAAAGGATGTACATGTGCAACTAGGGAACTGACATAGTATGCAGGGCTAGTAAACACGATTGACTTGATTGCTGATGGCAGTTTGCAGCATTCATAAGTAAGATTGTTGGGCCTGACTTAAACCCTCTGCAAACAAATGCCATTTAGCAGGTGAACTAAAGGGGAAGTAAGGAAAACCACATAGGACGACGGTTGTTGAGGCAGCCTAAGTCGGGGTGGTTTAGGCGAAGGCCAGGGCTTGGTGGGTGTGGTCAGAGATGGTGGTTTTTCCGAGTCTAACGTAATTAGTCAAACAGTAAAAGTCTAGAATTTAGTGTTTTACAGTTTGACTAATGTGGGCAACCCTTCTATAAGGTCAAATTTGGCACTTCCCCAGTTAGAGTGGCAAGTCGGATGCAGTCAAATGACTCATTTCAAGTGTGGAAGGCCAGCACAATGCAGTTGCCACGGTGCTCCAAGCGAGCCACAATCAACCCCTGCGTAGGTGAAGCTTAGTACGGGATATCTCCAACCTCAAATTTCGAATAGGTGCGGATATCCGCTCTTTTATTTCTTCATGTTACATGGTTTTGGCTAGACTCATTTTTCGGCTACCAGGTTTTGATTGTGACTCAGTGGATGCTTTTTGGGTTAACAATCTCAACCTGGGTATCCTCTGGGCAGGCTGACCGAGTCACACTTCAAACCTGATCGCGGAAATCCCGAGAGCCCGAGAGCCCGAGACCCGGCCATCCGGCCTACCGTTGCAGAACATGGAGTACTTCTCGAAGATCGCGTCATAGTCCTCCAAGGTCTTGCGCTCCTCTTCGCCTGAGCTTTGGACCCCCAAAGAATCACTTCCATGTGGTTAAGGCCCCTGGAAAAAATTGGAGAAAAAAAAACAACACATATGTCCAGTAGTGATAGATTCCCTTCAAAATAGGGGACACTTCCATTTCCATTCTTTCCAGGGATCCGTCTTTCTAGAAAACCATCACAACCTCAGGGGAAACAGCTGGCTTCTGAAAAGAACGATGCTTAAAAAGAATGGGGAATAAACCCTTAGACCATTATCCAGTAGTGATAGATTTCCTTCAAAACCAAAAGGGGAAAATAAAAATATCCTTAATTTCAAATGGAAGACAAGCAAACGAAAGGGAAAGCCAAACCCAAAATGGGTACCCTCCTGTGCACTCACCTTCCATTTGCTTAAGCCATCTGCAAAGATATATGTCCAGTGATAGATTGCCTTTAAAACCAACACCGCAAAACAACCAACATATTCTGAAGCAAATGAAAGTAACATGAAACCTGACTGAGTCCTGGAAGACTGGTTTTCTTGAAAAGGCACCATCTGGTGGTTCCATGTTAGTGGACAGAAAGGAATGGCTTGTCAAAATATGGGGCTCCCAAACTGTTGCTTCTTTTCCCTTCAAACCAAACTCCCCAACAAGGCACTCTCAGCCAAAACTACGCAACAAACTCGCGTCCTCAGTGGAATGGCTAAGGTGTTTCTTGCAAAATTGCCACAAAAAGGTTGGGGTGAAGAGTAGATGGCGCTGTCCCTCATAAGAAAGAGGATGACCAAACCCAAATGAGCAGGCTGTGACATCTACTTTCATCCGACTATGAACCCGGGCCAAACAAGTCACTTGTTTTCGGCTCGACAAGTCTATGGGGCGCCATATCCTGCGCTTGCCGCTTCAAGGTGGTCCCTGGGAAGACGCTTTTGATAGGCACACCCCGTTCGATTCTCAGAAGTGGAGAAGTGTGACGTGAGTGATCAGGGGCTTCCAGTTCGATCTGATGAGTTGGCGCAGGTTGATCTGATGATTTGGCGCAGGTTGATCTGATGATCTGGCGCTGGGTCTGTGCATGTCCATCACTGGAGGCTTGCTCATTTGAAACTCCTAGGCTTGCCAGGGATGAATAAGGCTTGGGCATGGATTGAAAACACACCTGGCCAAAACCATTGACGACAATGGTGTCCATGTCACGATTTCGCCCCACGGCTGGTTGACAAAAACACGAGTCACAAACAGGGTATCCAAAACAGTCGATTGTCCGTTTTTTCTCAAAAGGAGTCGGGCAACAGTTGAACATCTCAGAAAGAACCTACAAACTATTTCAGGCCATGGCTCAAAAGCCAAAGCAGGTACCCCCAGTGAACATTCCAATCCAGCCACTAAAATAGGTTCCAAAATGGGTGGTGAAGTCACCGAAATCCCCCCAAAATGGGATCCCAAAACGGATCTGGACCACCACAGCCAGGTGGTTTTGTTGAGTCCAGAAGGATCTCGGGCCCAGCTTCCTTTCGAACGCTTTGCGGTTTCCTTTCGACCGTCTGAGCTGCTCAGCAGCTCCAAACTGGACTGCGGCACGATGGTCTTCCTCAGTGCGTTTTCAACGCCGCTTGGTTTCGAGAAGTGTGATATGGCTGTGGGAACATAGGAACCCAAAATGGCTTGCCCTGTATCAATGGAAACATGGACTAAAACCTGCGGTCCACTTCCTGGTGGTTTAACTTTGACCCACATCCACATGGGTCGGTCAGTTTTCGACGGGTTCGTGGTTTTGAAGGGAAACCAAAAGGAGAAGGGTAGCCGGATGTCATTTCTTGGTACCCTTTTTCGCTTGGATACCAACCAGCGTGGGGTCCGCCAAACATGAAGACATACATTGAGATATTCCCATTGAACATGATCAAAGAGGGTCGAAGCGATGGGGCCTGATGGCCCCTGGCCAGGACTTACCAAGCGTAGCCTACCTTTCTGCCAGCGATTCTCTGAAAGTGGACGCCTCCTTTGGCTCTTGCAAGGCGTAGCCTGATATTCCCCAAACACAAAGAAAGCAAGTCTTCGGACCATTTGCCATGGATGCACCGGCTTGGCTCTTGTCTTTCTGTGGGTAAGGTGGGTAAGTACCCATCTCTGCATTTCAACAGACTCAGCTGTTTGTCAACCATCTGGGTTCCCATTTGAGAGAACAGTAAAAATCACCTGGACATAGAAATTGGTAAGTCCGCTGGTTCTGCTGGGACAAGTAATGAGCTCGCCCATGTGACTCCCAAATGGACCACAGACTACAGTACATAATGGTCACCGGACATTCAGGTCACAATCAAAACCAGGTATTAGGTTTTAGTCTATCCACGTAAACAAATCAAAGGCCGGGGGGGGGGGGTGTTTCTGGCGACTGTCTGGCATCTACCTGCATCCAAGTAAGCAAATCAAAGGCCAATGAGAGGGGGGGTGGCGGTGTTTTTGGCGACTGTCCCGGAACTTTCATCCTCCCGACTTCGAGGTGCGTGCCCGAGTTGGTGGGCTCGTCCTCCGGCCGGACTAAGGACACCTGGCGAATGCACTTCGATCGCTCACTCTTCACTTGAGTGGGTCGGCCAAAACGGTCATTTTAAGAACCGTCTTCCCAGAATGCACAAAATCCAAGTCAAGTGGTCTCACTCGGCTAGATATTTGTCAAAGATTCGGATATCCGCACCAAACTTGAGGAACAGAGGGGTCTGCCACTGGCTGGTTCAATGCCCAAGTCATTCGGGTAGTCGCCTTGATACACTGGCCACTTAGCATTGGCCGGGCTCGTCTTTGACTCTGTGCCGAAAGTGAGGCAGTTTTGGACGACCACCCGACTTGGCAAGTGGCTAGCATCCCGGCAAGTAAGTCCACTTCCCTAAAAGTCCTGGGGCTTGGTAGGGAGAACCCGGGCTTCCCCGTACCAAGCCCTGAGTTGTTTTAGGGCTGTCAAAAGGACCCATTTTGAGGCCCCACACTTCATCAGGACAGTTTGGCTAAGAGAGATGTTCCCACCGTATAATCCACTTAGGCGACTTACTCAGTGGGGGATATTCACCCAAAAATTGGCGGAATCCGACTGGGCAAATGGGGCCAGGCAGGCCTTGTCTTGACAAAACTTAACTGGGGCCTGTCATCATAGGCAACCCGGAACCCAAACAATTCAGTATGTTTAGAGGAGCCATGCCCGGAATCTACCAAAAAGAGGCTCCATGCTAAGCTTACGCCAGGGAAAGTACATGGAACAATTCCCTTAATGTGGGCAAGTCAAGGGGATGACCGAAGCAGGGAATTGTGCCATCTGTTTTCACCTAACTGTACCTTTTCTGGTTGGTTTAACGGGAAAAAATAAAACACAAAACCTATGTTTGGGGTCCAAATCCCTATTTCGACGTCGCCTGAAGTTTCCTTCTGACACTTCAAAATGGTGTCAGTTTTCAAGAGAAAGGGCTCATGGGCCCCATGATTGAAAGGTCAGAAGGAGACTCCAGGTATACACCCCAATCTTCACAACCCTCGGTATGGTTGCAGACAACTTGTCTTTGTTGCGGCCCCCTACTAAAGATGAGCAGAACCCAAAAACCTGAAAAAACACGAAAAACAAATCAAAAGAAGACAAAAAAAGAGAATAACAAAAACGGTAAACAAAAAAACTCGCCAAGAACTGTAAATCAATGCTTCCCTTTTTTGGGGGGGCACTGGGCTCGTCGCGCCTTGAAGCCGTCGGCCAGGGACTCGGACTTCGGCAGCGCGTCGAGGTCCGCGAAGGTCAAGGCCGCAGATGCCGCGGTGAGTCCCAAGCCAACGGCCTCGAGCGGGTGCTTCGAAAAAACCGTCGCTGTTCTTGGAAGCTTTTCTCGGTTGCTGTCTGCTCTGCTGCAAGTTTTCAACTTTTTAGTGGTTTAATGGAAAACCTTCACCTTAAGGGTCCAAGAAGGTCCAAGTATCCTTTGAGATTGGGGTGTTAAAAGGGCGTAGAGTACCTACTTGGACCCTTAGGGACTGTTCTTGGGTCAAGCTTTTGCGGTGTTCTTGTTGTGGTTCTGTTCAATTTTAGTAGGGGGCCTGCCAACAAACGTCATTTTTTTGCAAGCCCAGAGAGTTGTGAAGTTACTGCAGGCAGAGGTCTCTCTTCCTGACGGAGTCCAGGGGGAAAAAAATGTGTCATCGCCTTTGACCTCGAAGAGGCCGCAAGCGCAAGCGCAACTGCAGCTGCACATGTTCTCTGGCCAGTTGCTAAATTGTCAAAGGAGCATCTCGGGCCAGGTGCAAAAATTTCACCACCGATAGGTGAAAACCCCAAACTTCCCAAAGGCGGATCTGGTTGAAGGGGAGCCCTTTCCCTGGACCTCAGCGGGAAAGCGAGACCTCCAGTGGACCAACTCGTCTCGAAGTGGGAACCCGGCCTTACTTGCCCAAGGGGAGGGGCCTGTTTTTTTTTTACACGACCAAAATGGAAATAACAAGGTGAAGCTTCGAGGCCCACAACTTTGAAATGAGGGTGGCCCAAAATCGGAAAACCAAAGGTCGGATCCGGTCCATTCGCTGACAAGTGCGCCTCAAACTGGACCAAGCTTAGTGGTTTGTTCAGGAGCCGGGCTAACCGCCCAATCGCGCCTCAAAGCAAAATGGGCTTCAGGTGGTTTTCTTTTGTCCTGCTTGACAGGGAACCCTTCTGGGGACTCAGACCCCCGAACTTCTGAAAAAAGTCGCAACTGGTTGCGAAAGACACGGATGATGAAAAACAAAGACAAACCAGTTCAACAGGCAGGTCCGGCAAGGTATCTTGAGAAAATGTTGCGCCCAGCTTCCCAGACCCGTACCTAGAATCCAGGGAAGCCATAGAAGCCACGAACCACAAAACCTGGTAGCAAACCCTGGCCCTGGTGCAGAGGCTGGAAGCACCCCGCGGTTGCTTCTTTCAGCCTCTTTCGAGAGTCCTTCAAATTCAATCAACATATGGTTTGAGGGTACCCTTTTTGGGCTGGTTCGAAAACGAAACCGAAAGAACATTCACCATTGTGGGCTTCGCCTAATGCTCTCGCTTCTGACTTGGCTTTCTCAAATCTCCTTTGGAGTTTGCTGAGAGCTGACACAACTCCCCCCATGCAAGGTCAATTATCCCCTTGACTTACTCGCATCTATCGCTTGACTTAGTCGCTTGTACTTTCCCCCTTGCGTGCCCACCGAAACAACTAAGCTGATGTTTTGGCGCCCAAGTTGCTGTCGGAGGTTGGCCTTTTTGTAGAGGATAGCGATCGGGTGCTCAAAGGGACATTCCAAGTGAATCACCCATTTCGGAGGGGGGGGCTCCCCAAACCGCCCATTTGGGGGGCCCGATTCCATGCGGAGCCAAGGCTCAGTCCAACGCATAGCGAAGGCCATCCGACATGCGATGTGCGCTTTCGCGAGACAGCGCTCACGGAAGCTCCCGTTGAGATGGTGCTTAGCTGATCTTGAGGTCTCAAAATGGGAAACCCGATCTGTTTGGAAAGTTCCAAGGGAAGCCAAGACTTGTTAAACAAAGCCCGCAGACGGGTCTACTTAGCTGACTCACGGACCATCTACCAAGGTTCGTCATCGTACACATCTTGAATGGAATGTGCTTGGCTGGTGGCTGCAGGAAAATCAAACGGAAACCAATCAGTGCGGAATCGCCTGGGCTACAGCGATAGAGACTTCCAGGTCCCCATTCTTATTCATCCTCTGCGGAAGAGAAAATGCTCGATTTGGCTGGGTGTTGGGCCATCTTCTGGTGCGGAGGACCCGTGGAAAGAATGGGAACAGTATAACTACAACTCTGTGCTCTTCACACGGTCGATCGCCTGGAGGTCTACTAATGGACAAGCCAGCTGTTTCCAAAAGTCTTGGGGCCAAGATTTCGCAAATAAGCCATGAAATGTTCGCCACTGCTAACTGCTCATCGCTGGCACCTACCTTTCCAGCCGGTTTCGCCTTGGATGCACATACTCAAGGCTAGCTCGAGCCCAGTAGCTACCGCCTGATGTTTGCATGTGGCTGTGTCTTTCTTGCGGAAACCAAAGGGAAAAACGACCCATGTTGGGTCCTGTACGCCTATTTGTCTGCACCTCTGTTGAAGTGTACATGACCTACTAAACACTAGTCTCACTTATCACCAAGGGTGGTCTTGCTCCGCGAACGGCACACCACCGACAGCAAAGGCGGCTTTAGCCGGGCATGGAACGGCGTCCCTAGGCATGTCTTTTCCTTTTCTAGGGCACCCTGTTTAGGTTGGTGCAAAGGGAAACCAAAAGGCAACCCACCATATATTTTTTTGGGGGGGGTCCAAGATCCAATATTTCCAGGTTGACGTTCATATGCTGACAAGCAACTTGTTTGGACGCAGAACATCTCCAGAATGTGGCCCAATCTGTTAAACACCTATGTCGCGCGTAGCTTCTTCAGCTTGGTTTCCGGGGGACGCAAACCTGTTCAGCTTGGTTTCTTCAAGGAAAAGAGCCGTCGCCAGTTTTGGGAATGGTGGTACGGGAAGCCATTACGGGAAACTATTATGGGAAACCATTATTGGGAAACCATTATTTGGCGGGAAACCAGTATTTTACGGGAAGCCATTAATTGGCGTCCCAACATTTTGGCACATACCGCATGCTTGCCTCGACTCTTCAAGCCTAGCGGGACAAAGCGACATGCAGCGATCTGGCCAGCCCCCCGCCCCCTCCCCGGCCTTCAGGTCTGCCAAAGTGTCTTGAAGTATGCCTCAGGATAGAGACCTAGCTTGCCCACTTGGATTCCCATATTGCAAGTGAAGCAGTGAAGCAGCAAATTAGGGGGTTGCCCTTCCCTTGCGATATTTAGGGCAACCAAAGCCTTTAGGGCATGACTCTCCATACCTTCGGAACGCAGATTCCACGTTCGGTACGTAGATTCCACAGGTTTCACCTTGGTCTCCCAACATGTCTTTTGATTGGCCCGTTTAGATACCAAACTCCAAGGCCGCGCCTGTTGAAACAAATTAGGTCGGGATCCCATCTAAACAATTAGCATAGGGTCCTCAATACCAAAATGGTGCCGGGTACCATGAATCTTAGAATATTTCCACATTACCTCATGACCATGGGAGAACAATGTTTGCAGTGATATTTCTTGCCTTACTATATGTTATGATGAGCGTTTTATGAAAAGCCCCCTAAGTGGCCATGGAGGACTTGCGCTTCTTCTGGCAACTGGGTTTCCCCCTGGAGCCACGGGCATCACAAAAAGTCGACTCGGCCTCAAATTTGAAGGGGGTTCAAAGACACCTCTTCGCAAAACAAACAGGGGGACGCCGCCCAGTTTGGGGCATCCATTGTTTAAGGGTAAGTCTGGGGCAACATCAAACACTTTAAGGGTACCAGCACCCCCCAACAGCTACTTTCTCCCGTGTCAAGCACTGTCCAAAAAGCAAGTAGTTTGACCGTCCATAGCTTGAGGGTCACTTTCCCTTGGGCGCCAGGCGCGAGGCTTGCAGGGCCAAGGTCAGGCGCGCCTTGATCTCCGCTTGGCGCTCCTCCTATCGAATCACCGGTGTACCGGACATCGAACCCCCCCGACCCATCCGCAACAAACTCACATGGAACGCAAAAAGGGCCGCTACAAATAGGGGATTCTGGGTATTGGATAACCGCCTCTTTTTCAGGGTACCCTTGAAGGAGGGAAAGCTGAATTTTCGGGCAACCCATTGTAAAGATTGAGGTCAAGGTACCGTTTTTAACGGTTCAAGGGGGGGAAGGGAACTTGGACCCAAAACATGACTTTACTCACAGGTTCCGGTGGGTTTGAAGGTGTAGGTTGCATTTTGCTTGGGGTTTAAGGTTTGGGGGTCAGAGGGTATTGGCTCACGACCTAAACCTGACGAATGGGGGGCCTGTGGTCAACTCGTTCAAGGGTTTGCCAGGACCAACCCAAGAGACTCTTCCGTCCCAGAACTCCGGAAAGTGAGCCGAGGCCTGCATCTGCCCCCTCCTGACCCAGTGTATCAAAAGTGGTTGAGATGAGCCAATGGACCATGGGCCCCTCAATGGATCCGGCACCTAACCCCGGTAAGGGGGGGGGGCCTTGGTGAGATCCATTGGGTTTGTCTGAGCGAACCCAAACATTGGGTTTGATAACCAACCATTGGGATTGATAACCAACCAGTGGGTTTGACAACCAACCATTGGTAAGATCCATTGTCCAGGATTTCCGGTTGACGCATTAAACGTCCCTCCCCCAATGGTAGGATTGAAGGATGGAGGGGTGCGCCCTTTGCTTTGTATAGCTTACAACTTCGGAACAACAAGTGTCTGGTTTTGTGAGCTCGCTGCTCTTTTTTTTGCAAGATCACAGGATTCCAACCCTCCTAAACTCCTCCCTCCCGTTGTGAACCAACCCAAAACAAGACCCGAAAAGGTCGGAAGCTATAAGACTTTGTAAGGAAACCCAGCGGCCGATTTGCGGGATGTCCCAAGCCGGGGGGGGTGGGGGGTTCAGCCGGTGCGGATTCGGATTTGTGGCTTACTCCTGACGCAGAAGCAAAGTGACAACGCAGAACAAACACAAAGTATTGGCAACGACCTGCTAGCATCCGCTAGGGGTATCGCGCAGACTGCGCCCCCTCACTTAACCTCTCTTGAGGTAGGTGTGCGGGCTGTGGATCAAGAATCAAGAATCAAGAATTGGCAAACCTAGAGGGCCCTTTATGGTACCGGTGAAAGGCAGAGAAAAGGTCCAAGGGCCCGGCCATCTTTGTGAAAAATTTCTCCCAAATGGCTTCCCTTTCACTACCCCCCGAGAAACGAAAAACATCACGAAAAGGTCCCTTCAAAGATTCACCTCAACCTAAAGTGAACTTAGTATATTATGTTCCCCCCTCTTGGTACGTGCCCTCCTATGTCCATACATGTATACAAACATATGTATAACATATATATACATATATATATGTACGCATTAACTATGTTTAAACAATATTGTACTCAGTTGTTCAGTAACCCTGGAAACAAAGGAACCCGTTCTTTTTTGGGAAGACCATTTTTAGTGGGGCCACCAAGAAAAGGGGAAACAGAAAACAGGTGCCACTGAAGAACTGAGTGTATGTTCCTTCGTTTTTTTACCTTTCAACACGTCCTGCGGCCCAAACCAGACACGAACATCGTATCTTCTGGCCTCCTCGAAGAGCACGTCCGCGGCCTTGCGCTCGTGCTTCTGGAGTCTGGCGCGGTTGGCAAGATATCACTGGGGTTCAAAGCAACCCTTAAGGGTCCAAGCACCTTCTGAGGCACTTTACGCCCTTGTAACACCCCCAAAAAACCATCCTCAAAGGGTACTTGGACCCTGAGGGAACATCAAAACAATGGGGGCAAATATGTTTTGTAGCTTGAGGGTCATGACTCCAATGCACACCGGGACCCGGAGCCTCCAATGGAGAAACCCCAGCCCTTGAAGACAATCAGTTGAGGGCCCAAAAACCATCGTGCCGGCATATATCTCATCCAAATTGGGCCAATCATTCTTAGACTCTTCCCTTGGTGGTTGAACCCCAGGGTCTCCGATTCCAAGTTGGAAAAGTTGGGTGGTTTTCGTTGGCATGATCTGCTTGCTTTGATTGAAAGTCAAGTTCGACCCATCTTGAAAAGGCCAAAGCAGCTAAAGCCTCAGGACCCTATCAGCATGGCCAGCTCGTGTTGCTCTCCGCAAGATCGCCCTTATAAGAGGCAGATCCTGTTGAATGGGAGGCTCTAAACTCCTTCCACTTGCTGGAACGCCGCCTGGAAAAACAAAAACAGTTCCAGTAGTGAAATTGATTCCCTTTAAAAACAACAAGGCAGATTCATTTCAGCAAATGGAAGGGAAAACGTCCAGGGATTCTGCGCCTCAGCAAGTCCGCCAGGGACCGCAAGTAGTGCACCACTGCCTCGCGAGTCGCGAGTCGCGAGTCGCGAGTCGCGAGTCGCGAGTCGCGAGTCGGATCTTCGAAGCGAAAGCCTTGGACCCAGCTGATCCGGATCCTCCCATCCCGAGCACCGCCCATCCGTGGATTGGATCCAAGCAGCTCTGAACTCTGTGGTTGCTGCTGAACTTTGCTTTCCCAAACAAGTACAGAGTTCGGCAAGTAGAACTCCGGCCCAGGGTTTGCCAAACAAGTACAGAGTTCAGCAGGTACTACTAGAAACTCAGGGAGTGGGCTGAGAATATGGGGTCCCCTCCCCGGCGGACCGCACGTTGTCACAGAAACAAGGCTACATAAATGTCTGGAAATGGTTGCCAACCCATCGAACAACAAGGATTCAGCTCCACTTTTGTCTTAGACCCTGGTTTCTCATGATTTCCGTCTAACTCAAAAGGACATCCCCACCAAGACACACCAAAAAGACTTGCAGCCCCTCTATAGGCTTGAGGGCATTTCAAACACAACGCTGTGCCTTCTCCCAAAAGTGAAA